TTTATATAACCGGAATGCGTGCATAGAATGCATTTTGCAAATTTCATTCCTTCTCTTCCCCTTCCCCCTCGATTTTCCTATAAAAAAAAATAAACAAAAATTATTATTGATTCGTTTTTCTCGTCTTACAAAAGAAGCGTAAAATTTCGCGAACTCAAGTTTATGAAATAGATAAATAGATAAATCTTTTAAATAAACAAAAATGGAAATCGACATTGTGAGGTCATGATATTATCAGATATATTTAAGATTCCTGATACGTCGGCCGAGTATTAAGTGTGATGACTCGTCGTGTCACGTTAACGCTATTGCAAAGTACCCTCGACATCGAGTGCAACGTCGGCGTGACGCAACGAGTGCATCGTCGCCGCCGCCGCCGCCGCCGTCGTCGTCGTCGTCGTCGTGCCGCATCACAAACAAATTGTAACATGAATTAAAGAGGTTTATCTATATTCGATATTTCTTTTATTTCATTCAACATAAAATATCAAGCAAAAAAATATAAATAAAGATCGATTGAATATTTTTAAATTATAAATAAAGTGAAGTATTTATTAATAAAACGGACATTTTAAAGTAAAAGCATTAATACATTGTCTCAGGTATAATTCATTAGTTAGCGTCATTATCGGAGACATGCGCGGATACATTAGGTTCGCTGTTAGTAATTGCATTATGTCATGCTTTCCGCATTTAAAATGGAATAGATATGTAAGTGAACGTTGAAAGAAACAAGACGAGATATATAAAAAGTTTAGTTGCAAAAAACATCTACTAGTTGTGTTGAAGAAATATCGGTATTGAGAATTATTAGATTTCTAGCAAACAGATCTGATAAGTTTAGAAGTATATCAAACATAATAAGACAAACGTTTATTCAACAATTACACGACTGTTGGATTTCCTAAGTGGATACTTTCTATTTAGTGATACAAATGGACACAAGTATCATTTTGTCCTTGTTAATCATTGAAAGCCAAGAAAGATAGAATGATACTTGTGTCGACTTGTGTCCAAATGGAAAGTATCCAGTATAATTAGTGTAAAATAGTTGCATCGTATCGTTGTAATCTACCGAATTTTATAAACAATCATTTGTACTATGAGAATATTCTCTTTGAAAAAATGAGAATACTCTCGTTGAAAAATTGTACATGAATATTACATGTGCACTATTATAATTAAAATTTTTTATGACCGTGCTAGAAATATCAGTTATATTTTACTTAATAAATCTCTCTCTCTCTCTCTCTCTCTCTCTCTCTCAACTTTATCGTTACTATTACATAGTTTATTTAACAAATATAGATATAAATATTATATAATACAAATATTACTTTCTGAATCATTAATATATTTATATTAGATTTTTTTTTTAATCGACGTTCTTAATCGACACGCGAAAAATTGGCCTTAACTTGCACGCGAGAAACGCAGATCGCGTTTGATATGAGTCGTAGAGAGAGTCAACAAGAAAGAAGGAGACTGAGAGAAGGGATGGGATGATGCTAGTTGGAGGGAAACGAAGTGCTGAAGAGGAAGGGAGAACCGGAGGAAGAGAGAATGAGAGAGAAAAAGAGAGAGAAATAGAGCAGAGTTCATTCACCCGCTCGCGTTCACTGCGCTTTATAGATGCGGATATATAGGTTTCGCGGTACCAATTCTGAAGAGGGCAAGACTCTTCCTTCGCATAGGAGAACGCGGTCTTATTTAGCGATTAGATAAGAATATTTATTTCTAGGATAGACCTTTCCATATTATTAAGTGTTATCTCTCAATGATTATTTACTTTGACCGTCTAAAACAATTGTTTACAAAGTGAACGCAAAATAAACTGATGAACTAAATGTTGAATATTGTTATTTTAAACGGTTTATTAATAACTGTTTAAAATAATTATTATATAAGAAGCAACAACAAAGAAAATCTAACAATTATTACTTCAAAAAATTAGTCATTAACGATCAAAATGGACGGACAAATTCTTTTCTCATTTCTCATCGATTTTTTTCTCATTTAAAAAATATAAGGGTCAAGTAACAATATAAAGGCAGTAATCAATTAGATATTTAAAGAGACTGTTCAGCATCACTTATCGAGTTGCAACTGTCAGCCCAAAAAAAGTACTTCTCCTTCGTCACGCTTTTACTTTCTTTTTCTTTCATGGGATCTGTTAACAGGTGGTCAGCGCAAGCTCGCTTTTACACACGACGTAATTAATTCACGGGCGTATGCATAATCAGGAGTCGTTATTCGGGTGGTGCGTTTAATGTTTCATAAAGTACACCGCGATACATAAATTGCCTTATAGATGTATATGAAAATGATGTCAAAGTACAGTGTACAACGGTACCTTCGTCGAATAAACGTAATGATAACGTGAAAGAGAAAAAGGGAAGGGGAGGGGGTGGATGTACAGGAAGCAAAATGAGGGAAAAAGAAATAGGGAAAAAAAAAGAAAGAAAAGAATTACACCGCGAGGAATCATCTTGTGCGAAATTATGCCCGCATGCTTTTTATCTTCTTCGAGATTTTTTTAGTATATAATTTCGCTTCGAGAGGATCTTTGAAAATCCCCCGGAAATGTAGCCCCTTAAGTGCACCCGCAGAAATTTAATATCACCTCGAACGTTCTCACGTTGCACGAAAATACAGTTTTTTTTAAATAGACTAAAATTATAATAACGACCTGCTTATTTCGTAAAATATTTCTTATCGTTTAGATAACTTCAGGTGAAGAACATCTCGTATACGTTGGTTTTGCACCCGCTCAGAGGAAGGAAGAAAAATATCAATTATCGAGACATTGTGAAATGCGATAAGCTTTG